GACTCGCCCGCTCGGAAGCCGGATCCCGAGCCGGGCAGGATGGATCATCACCAGGCGGGGACTGGCCGCTACCAGGTGGTGAGTTCCCAGCCTCCCGTGTCTCCCGGGTCCCTCCCGCCGGGGCCCCGAGGGTCCTTTTCCTCGGGTTATTCCCCGCGGGACGTGTTGGTTAATTGTTTTCTCTCCGGCTCTTGTGGCTGGACCCGCTTCACTCACACCTCTCCTCCTCTTCGAGACCCTTCCTCTCGCCCCAAGTCCCCTCCTGGCTCCCCGCGCGCGCCTCATGAGACACCCTGCCCCCGCACACCTGGTAACTTACATCTGCTTTAGTCTCTCACTCTGTCATTTTCTTGGTCTTTGACTCAGTCAACCCTGAGACATTCTAGTCGATTGTCTGCTGGAAATGGGGCTGAGTTCAGCTACCTGCCCGGAAGGTGACCGCCGTCATAAATGCGTGCGTGCGTGTGTGTGTGTGTGTGTGTCTGTTTGAGGGAGGGGGGTGGTGGTGAAGTAGGTGTAAGGTTGCATGAGAATTTGGTGATAGTGTGGGTTGGGATTCGTGGAACTGTAGAGAATGAATAGCCGTCTTGCTGATCTTGTGTCTGCTCTAGTTAACCTTGTCATTTTGTCCTTTTCCATTATGTTAGTATTAAAAGTGGTTCTATTTTTTCCCCCCATTCCTTTTTTTTTTTTTTTTTTTTTTGGTCAAGAGAGGAAACAGGAAACTTTGTTAGGACACAGTTCTAATTTTTTTTGAAAAATTATTTTTTCTTAAATGCAAGGTTTTCCAGCTTCATTGTATAAACCTTGGTAACTATGTGTTGAATTGAGTGAAATGTGTTCCTCTGTATTTCCAGTGTCAACTTTTGATAAAATGTATTTCTTTGTGTATTCTGATGGTGTCACTGGAGATTCCTATTGGAAACCCTATGGAAAGATAGACTCAGCAATAGTTGATCCTTCTGTCGCAACTAGGTAGCATGTCATTCTGTAAACTTTCAGATAGTAATTTAGATAAGCCTATTGACTGAGGGAAAGAAGAAAAACATTAATATGTAGTACTGTTGGTGCAGTTTGTGGTTTGTAAAATTTTACAAAGTTAGGTGTTCTAGTCCCAGATTTCACCTTTCAAATCTCTTTGTACATGTAAGTTATGAACTAAGAATTTCTATTATTTAATCACATTTTGACAAATACGAACAACACTGTAAGATGAGATCCCAATGTATGTAATTTTGCATTTTTCTAAAATAAAAGCATGATGCTTCCATTTTTAACTGGTGCGCATGCTGTTAAAATTCCCAGTGATCCATATTTTGAATTCTCTGAAAATTTATCAGCTTTTATCTGAACAACTTGGAGATATTGTTGCTTCCATTGTGGAAGGCGTTTTTCAAGTTTTTAGTGTATACCCTTTTGGTGTTTTGTTTTTTTTTTTCACCCCAGAGGAATCCTTATGTTTGTAAATGTTAGCAAAAATAAAATGCAATAGATTAATTGAATAGTATTAGCAGTAGAACTTGTTTCATTTTTCTAATCTTTCCTGTTTCTGTTTCCCTCCCTTAATAAGCATGAACTGATTTGAATTATTTCTCTTTGGGTACTTTTGCTTATCAGAATCAACCATGTTCTACGTAAGTCAGTACTCAAAACATTTCTAACATTTGTAACTGTACCTTAAGGTGATTTATCATACTGTTATATTTGTTTTCGATAGTTATGACTAGTTTAGACTATTTTTAAAAATTCCTGCTACCAAACTATTGAAATTTACTCCCAGTTTTAAGATATTTTTATTTTCTCTATAACTCCTTTCAAAATATATGAGACATTTTATTGCTCTTTTTTTCAAACTGAGCATGTGTGCTACGTAGACTTTGAATGGGTGGAGACATTCATTGAGAGCAGAGGGTAAAAATCAGCCCTTCTAAAGATAATGCTTAGCGGGTCTTCTCAAGATTGTACTCATATTAAGTAGATAGGACATAAATTTGTTTTCCTTGTAAGCAAAAATGTTAGAGAAGGTGTTAGCACAGTTTAAATTTGGATTTTAATTTCTTTTACTATGTCATTACGTAGTGACTTTATCTATCTAGTATAACTCTTGGTTTTTGTTGAGAATGTCCTGATTGATAACTATGTCTAGGTATATGCCAGAGAAGCAGATGGATTGATATTTCCAGTAGACTTTTAAAACTAGGAATCAGTCTGCAGCTCTGGCTTATATGATGAACAGAATTGTGTTGTGGTTGCCTTTAGCTCTGTTTTTGGAAATCTCTGGAATGATCAGTAAACTGGAGCAATAAACAACTTCAGTTATTGAATGTTAAGAATGACTAAGGAGATAGGCAAGTATACTTATGGGTGAAATGGTATGCAGTGTTAATATATCATTTATTTAAAAATTTAAAATAAGTTCTTCATACTGGAAAGTTAGCAGTGATGATGAGGACTGTCAGGATGACTTACTACCCTTAGCAAATACACAAGCTTTATCTGGAAACTGCTTTTTCTGTGAGCTTTTTCCTCTCATTGTTAAAAGGCCCCCCATTTTTTTTTTATTCCAGTAGCTTTAGGGGGTACAAATAGTTTTTGGTTACATGGGTGCATTGTATTGTGGTGAAGAAGTCTGGGCTTTAAGTGTACTCACCACTCTGACCTGTTCACGTTGTACCCATAGATTTTTCTTCCCTCCACCCTTCCCCCGTCTTCTGAGTCTTCAGTATCCATTTGTACCATTCTCTATGCCTTTGCAGATCCTTAGTTTAGCTCCCACTTGTGAGAACATGTGGTGTTTAGTTTTCTGTTCCTATGTTAATTCACTTAGGATGTTACTCTCCAATTCCATCCAAGAAATAACGCAAAAGACATTATTTCATTCTTTTTGATGGCCGAATAGTATTCCATAGTGTATGTGTTGCATTTTCATTATCTGCTGATCATTTAGATTGATTGTACATCTTTTCAATTGTGAATTGTGCTGCGATGAACATGTGAGCATGGGTTTTTTTAATATAATGACCTCTATTCCAAAGGGCCCCAGTTGGTTAAGTAAAGCAGTGGATAACAATTTAGAGCTATAAAAAGTCTTGATTATTACCATTCTAAATTTCAAAAAAAGCCAGGTGTGCTCTGTAATTTTCTTGTGTTATGGGAAATTCAGTTTTGTTCCGCAGGAAATGAGCAATGTTGCCAACCACAAAGTTGTTGACTTGGCTTGCAGCTGTTAAATCACATACTGACTTTGATATTCTCTATTTTAAAGGACTGTGTACCTATACCAAGCAGACTACTAAGATTTAAAAGGTATTCTGTATAAAAGTTAAAGTGTCAGTGTTGACTTATAGTAGTAGTTTCCCAAATTATGTTTTAGAATGAAGATGATAAGTGTTTTTGGAAAACTTATAATATATACTAGCATATTAAAACATATTAGCAGATTAAAACTAAAGAAAATTCCGCAGTAAACACAATGGTTTGGATTTTTTTTAGCCTAGTTCTTCCTAAGTATTATTATTTTTTGAGTTGGGGGGGTCTCACTTTGTAGTATAGGCTGGTGTGTAGAGGTACAATCACAGCTCACCACATCCTTGACCACCTAGGCTCAGGAGATCCTTCCGCTTCAGCCTCCTGAGTAACTGGGACTACAGGTGCATGCCACCATGCCCAGCTAATTTTTATTTATTTTAAAATGTTTTTTGTAGAGAGGAGATCTTGCTGTATTGGCCTAGGCTGTCTTGAACCCCTGGTCTCAAACAATCCTGTCTCGGTCTCCCAAAGTGCTGGGATTATAAGGCATGAGCCACCAAATTTTTTTTGTAGAGAGAAGGTCTTGCTGTATTGACCTAGGCTGTCTCTAACTCCCAGGCTCAAACAATCCTTCCACTTCAGTCTCCCAGAGCACTGGAATTATAGGCATGAGCCACCATGCCTAGCCTCTTTCTACTTTTTGACCACAGTTTTTGCTCTTGTTGTTCTTTGCTTTTAAAATTATATTAACATTTAATTTTAAGATTATATTAACATTTCCAAAATATTAGTTTTGCATCACAGCTGAGGAACTCAGAACCAAGAGTGCGGCATTTTTTTTTTTTTTTTTTGGTAAAGCAAGCATCAAATGTAGCAAACAAGTAAGTGAACTAGCATTCTGGGGTGGCAGTTAGGCGCATTGGGTGCCTTGATCTTCTTTGTTGCCTATGTGACTTATTACAAGAAACAGCTCAGTATCAGGAAATGGAAAGCTTTGCAGACTGGCATGCTCAGCAAGAATGTACAGGGGCATTCAGGCCCATAACTGACTGTTTCACCCATTATTGCGTGTTCTGAATGAGATTAACATATGGCGATTTTTAGGCACAGTTATTTCATTTTCTATTTTAAAGAAGCATTGCAGCCTTTTTTTTTTTTTTTTTTTTTTTTTTTTGAATTGGAGTCTCACTCTGTCCCCCAAACTGGAGTGCAGTGGCTGCTCCTGGCCACCGCAACCTCGGCCTGCTGGGCTCTGGCGATCCTTCCGCCTCAGCCTTCCAAGTAGTTGGAACTACAGGCGTGCGCTACCATGCCCAGCTAATTTTTGACTTATTGTAGAGATGAGGTCTTGCCAAGTTGCCCAGCCTTTTTACCTTATGTTGCTCTCTAGTTATCACCTTCCTTTCTTGATCAGCCTGATTCTTTTGATCTTTACATGTTTGTTTCCTTTGCCAATATACTTTATCTGGTTTATATTCTCACCACATCTTTTGTAAACAGTCAAGATTACCTGACTGCATAATCTAGTAGATATCGTTCAGTTCTCATATTGCTTGATTTCTCTGTTGAATTAAAACTGTGAATTTTTGTCTTGAAATTCCTTCCTTATTTCTGATATCTAGAAGTTTTCTACTTTTCTTGACTTCTCTTTCTTTTTTTTTCCTCCTAGTGAACTCTTTGTACTTACTCTATACTCCTTAAATTTTGATGCTTTCCACAGCTTGGAATATTGTAATAGTCTACTATTTTCTTCCTTCATCTGACCATCCTTCAGTGTGTCATTTGCACAATGTGCATCATATTTGTAGAATACAAGTTGAATATTCCTC